GGGACGGTGAGCGGGGGCGCGCGAGGGGCGGGCCCCGACCCTGCGCTGCTCTGCCCCGCCTCGCCCCTCCGCGGGCCCCGGCGCAGGGTCCGTGTGGGGCAAGGAGCTCATCCCTGGAGTCGCTTCCCCCATCCGGGCGCTGGGCTCCCTCCCGGGCTGAGCCACGTGGGGCTGCGGAGCCGCTGGGAGCGCAGCCCCGCCTCTCCGCTGCCTCCCTCCACCCGGCGGCTGCTTCCAGACTCAGAACGTTTCGAAGCGTTTCGACTGGCCTCCTTTCGTTTGGCGGCTGTTTCCAAGCCCTTCATTTCGTTTCGATTTTGCTGTTTCAAGCTCAGAGCGAGTTGAAATGAAACAGGTGGCGTAGGTTCGCACAGCCTAGCTGCCTGCACGCTAGATCCCAGGGGGTCAATAGGTCTGCTTTGGTGAGTCTGTGATGGGGGTGAGCAAAGTTCCTGGCCCCAAGGCCAGATGGGGCCCATGGGAGAGTCCATTTCCCAGCAGCCCCCTGCCTGCATCCCCCTGGCCGGTTTCAATGGAGACCCCAGGAGCGGAGGAGCTATGACAGCGAAAGGCCTGGGTTTCCACAGGGACTGGCCCCAACAGCACTCGCAAGGTGCGCGGTTGGGGAAGGAGCTGCTCCGGGTCCAGGATCTTGTGGCAGTGGCAGCAATCTGCTGCCCACAGGCCCCGGGCAGGGGCATGCAGGCAGCAGATCGTGGCTTTGCTCTGGACCACGCTGTCACTGCTGCACGATCCCAGCCCTGGCCCTGGAGCAGCTCCCCACCCAGCCAATGCTGCTGGGACTGATCTCCCTGGAAACCCTGGCTCACGCTGTCATGGCTTTGCTGCTCCTGGGGTCTCCATGGAAACTGGCCACAAGGACACGGGCAGAAGCTGCTGCGAAATGAAGTCTGGCCACTGGCTGGATTTGCCATTTTGCCCACCCCTGATCTACGAGGAACAAATTTCCCTTGTTTCCATATATGAAAAGGCAGTGTTGGATTCAAACTTAATGGCGCCACAACCCTAGAACCAAACAGGCCTGATTTTAGGAGCTCTGACTCTCAATTTTTCTATATGGAAAAGGAAGGGTGATTTTATAGACACCATTGTTAAGCGCACATGTCTGCTCAGGTCTGCCCTCTGCAAAAAGTGCCAGCAAAGTACATTCAGCTAATTTGTGTTTGGGAAGAATGAAACATATTGTCTTTGCAATATTTTAAATTCAACCTCAGATATGTTTCAGTTTAATGCTAGAAATAATCAGGATTGCCAGTCTCTTCCAAATATCAAATGCACAACTGAGTTTAAAAAAAGAATAAAAGTAACCCGCTTTGATTTTGTTAAATCTGCACACTTCTGAACTGCATCCAACGCAGCATGGTTTCCTGCCAGCTCACATGCTAGGCTGTTTGCTAATCTCTGGCTCTTGCCACACAGAGTGCCCTGTAGGTGGGGAACCAAGGCTTCCCAGCTCCCTACGATGGAGCCTGGGGTCTGGAACTTGACAAGGGTCTTAGGGCTTCTGAGCGCCCAGCTTCTTGATGGAAAATTAATGTTTGCCTCCCACTTCAGTGGAGCATATCAGCATGGTTTCCCAAAAACTGTTGCATAGCGACATTCTGGGTCACCCAGCCACAGTGGCACTTCTCTATGCAAGACAAGCCTACCTTTCTGCTGCCACCATGACACAGCAGATGAACATGCACACCCAGACAGCATGGGCCCTAGAGGTGCTATGCAGAGTCATATAGTACTATATTGTTACGATTATAACAAGCCAACTGTGATCTTTTTATGGGAAAGTATGTAATAGTCAACAAAACCCGTGTCTATTTTGGTATACATATTTTTAACAGCAAGAGATTTAAAAATATGTTCAAAGCTACTTAAAAACCATACAGGAAGAAGACACCCCCCTTTACACTTGTATTACCAGTCTATGCAGCATTCAAGCAGAACTTTTTATTATTTAGCTACATATTTATAGGTATTTCACTCTTTTGTCCATTATCTTTTTTCATTTCAGGATATGGGCTATATGTTTATCCTAATAGCTTTTTCCAATATGAAGGAGAATGGAGACAAGGACAAAAACATGGTAAGGGGAGATTAGTTTTCCATATAGTACTGAAGTGAATATTTACGGTAATTTTTTTTATTTACTGCTGTAACTTGCTTAATTTTCAGAATGTCTTTACAAACATTAGTGTAAACTATAGCTGAAGCAGAGTGTGTGTGTGTGTGTGTGTGTGTGTGTGTGTGTGTGTGTGTGTGTGTGTGTGTGTGTGTGTGTGTGGTGGGAGAAACCTCCCTAAGGTTTGTTGTCTAGCTGTAATTTGATTGACAGACAATGCGGGTAAAGAAAGACAGCTGTTTATTTGCTCGAGCAAAGACCATAAAACCAGCAAAAGGCAAAATGCCCCCTCCCCCCCCAAAGGTGAGGTGATCTTTTATACTTATTACAACAAGGCAAGACTTCATGGTTAACAAAAAAAGCAATACTTGGGCGGTGCTTTTCAAATCTTTGTAACAGCATATTTCTATTAAGCTAAACTAGCACTTTTTTAAAAAGCTAAAAGTTAAGTAACAGTAACATTATAATATGTTAGCAAAACCTTACACAGTAGTAGATACTTCTCAAGGACACAACCAGTGCACCCAGAACAATGGTTTCCCTGTCTTATCTTACTTCTTGCTGTAGCTGATTTTTCAGCACACAGACACAGAGATACTTGCTGCTTTTAACTCAGAAAATGCTTAATACAGTTAAAATGATTACTTGACACAAGCAAAGGCTTAGCTATCAATCTGCCTTGTGGTTAGCTGCATTGCTAGGCCACAGGTCATGCCTTGTATTCAGCTGTAAAGCTAATACTTCTTAATAATCTAAATTATTGTTAACCTAACAGTATGCTATCAGAAAACTATTCTATTTCAGGGTAATAACAAACCTGCGCACTACATGTGTGTGTGTGTGTGTGTGTGTGTGTGTGTGTCAATGTAGCAACTGAAGCATAAACAGCAAACTATTACTATACTTTATCATAGGCAATGAAGTGTAGAAATTTGAAGGAAAAACACTGATAAATTTTTATCTGAGTTTCTCATGCCTTTAAAGAGAAAGCATGTTTGCAAAAATCCAGGTACATTATTTTATCCCTTCATACACACATACCTAATCGGATGAATATTACCATGCATTCAATAAATATTAATGTTTCATTTTTTCCAAAATTTGAAGATAATCCTAATTTCTAGTTGCCGGTTGCAAATGTAAGTGTGATTCAGATTTTTTTAGGACTGTGATGAAATGGACTCTGAAACATCTTTTTCAGACCCCATTCCTTAAAATGAAGGCCATGTTGTACCTAGTAGAACATGGCCATCTCTTACAAGTTCGCAGGCATTTTAAGGCAGTTCTCTGATATTGCAGGGAAAAGCTTTTTGGAAGGCTGATTAATTCTTTGAAGTTTTGAAAGGTTTCCATCCATTACAAAGGAATCAAAAAAAGGAAAAATGTGAAGATTTCTAGGTCATACAAATTACAACATCTTTAAACAAATTGGGCATTAAGACTGTCACTGCGGGGGTCCTCCAGGAGGGCCATGATCTCCTCAAGGCCCCTTCCTCTGTGCCAAGTCGGCCCAAGGGCACCCTCTGATTCTCTCCCGCCACGTCTTTGCTGTTAGATAAGGTTGGGAGGCTGCCTTACGTCTTCTTGGACACAGTTCATTGTGACCTCTGTCCCCTTGGACCCCCGGACCCCTTGTGGGTCTTGTCCTGCAAATGGGTGCCCTGGGCACCCTAGCCTTATGGGCTATGCGTGGCTCCAACCACCCCTTATACCACGCCCCAAGCCTCGCAGTTGGACTGGACGTTGTTCAGTCTCTTGGTCTGCTCTCACGCCCGTCTCTCGGGCCTCCTCTATACTGCCGCCCGGCTCTCGGGTCTTCTCTATACTGCCGCCCCCTCCTGGGGCTCTCTATGCCCACTCTGGGACTTCTCTGTGCTGCCGCCCTCTCTCTCTGGGGGTGCTCCATGCCCCCTCTGGGCCTTCTTAAGAACACCGCCCCTCTCTTGGGGCTCTCCCTCTAATGCTGCCCCTTTCCTGGGGCTCTCTGTGCCCACCCTGGGCCTTCCCTGTGAAGCTGCCCTTCTCCTGGGGCCTTCTGTGCCTACTCTGGGACTTCTCAGTCAAGCCACCTGTCTCTCGGGCCCACCTCGCTGCTACCCCCTTTCTCCAGGGCTCACCGCACTACTACCCCCTCTCTCCGGGGTTTACCGCAGTGCTATGCCCTCTCTCAGGGGCTCACCATGCCCGCACTGGGGCTTCAGTAGTGCCCCCTCTCTGGGCTCGCCACGCCCACACTGGGGCTTCTCACTAGTGCCCCCTCTCTGGGGCTGGGGTCTATGCCTCCTGCACGCCGCGCCCTTACTGGTGCTGGGATCCCCACGCTACGCTGGGTCCCACACGAGGCCTCCTCCAACCCCTAATAGCCTCACCCAAGCCACCAGTGTAATAAATAACAACAAAGCAAAACACAAGCCTCTTGGCTACAACTTAGCCATAAGCCACCCGGCTATAACAACATTGCTCGGACATCTTCGAGCTGCCATCCTTTACTCTGCTTGAGGAGTACCTGCAGTTCTCACATCTTAACTCCAGGAGCTCCTGCTCCTGCCCCTCTGGCTGCTGGCAGGGAACTACTAGCCTGGCCTCAGCCCCTGGGCCTTATGAGGGCCAGGCCCTGCCCCTTCCAGTCAGCTGACCTCCTGGTTGCCCCTGGCAACCCACAGCTGTGCTCCTTATTCCCTGCCAGGGCTCTGTCCCTGGTGGTTTCCCCTCTCTAGGAGCAGGGCACCTCAGTGCTCTGTGACAAAGACGTTCCAGATTTGGCTAACATGCTTGAAAATCATAGGCTCACTGACTTTAGTTCTGGAGTATAAGAAATATGCTCTATAGCTAGAGAAATACAGGCCTTACTCTCTGCCGTATTCTTGCAAGCCAAGTCCTGAAGGAAAAGCTGCATGGAGTATCCATCACAAGGAGCTCAACTTACCTAGAATTATAACAGGAGAAAGGGCTTTTTTCTGAGTATTGTCTTTTCTCACATACAACACGCCCCCAAATAAAATATGCATCTTGTTTTCAAAAGGCAGAACGAAGAACAAAAGATCTTTCTTGAGAGTCCCTGAAGAGGGGGAGGGAAGGGAAGGGAAGGGGAGCAGGAGAGAGAGAAAGTGTCCATAGTCAGCAGCTTGGGGAGTCTTGCCTACAGTCCATGCAGCTTTACTTTCATTTTGCCCTGGTAGAGACTTAAGTGACAGAAACTGCTGTTATCATATATCCTCAATTTTAATGTGCACTCCAATTTCTAGCAATTGAATTTTGGAAAAAGGTGCATTGTATATGCAAGAAAATATGGTATCAGTAGTCACACCCAAAGTAAAGATTTCATGAGGGTTTTTAAATAAATATATATGATATAGGATGCTGCAATGCCAACACAATAACTGAGAAACCGTCAGCCGTCACTTAGTACATCTCTTCTTATATTCTGTCAACCCCTTGGAGTTGATGCTCTCTTTTCTCCTTCCTCAGTGTCTCATGTGTGACAAGTTGTGCTCACTTGCTCAAATGAAAACATCTTCTCTTCTTCTGAGTTAGATGCACCACACATACCTCAATAGGTGATTGACTTGCCAAAAGTGTGAGAGATAAGAACATCATTGTTTAAGCTTTTTTATCATCTTAAGGAATAAGTAGCACTTGACTAGTCTCTAAAATGTGTGTTATATTTTACTATGGCAACATAACAAGACAAAAACGGCGTTTTCTTGCTTTTATCTTTAAACAAATAATGAACATTTGATGCGTAGCATCAACACCATACAGTTGCTTGCAGGCTTGCATGGAAGTAAAGTTTTTGTCTTCAAAAGCTTACAAAAGTGGAGGTGACATTTAACCTAGTAGAACTAAATGGAAAAAATATCCATTTCAGTAGGGCCAGGATTTTCCCCTATATGTAGGAGACTATTTTGCATTTATTTTTACACTTTCTTCAGGAGTCTCTTAGGTACAGTGTCAGTAAGTGCTAGGAATAGATTGAAGTTCTTCAAATACAATTACAAAACATATAATTTTATCTTCTTTTAACCGATGTGTAAATTAAATAACAGAGGGGAAGAAATTTGGTCAAAATCTCATTGTGTTATGCCCAGAGTGGAGATCAGTATTCATAGGTCCTGATTCTCCATATGCTTCTCAAACCATTATACACAGTATCTCTGAAGTCACTGTAATTTGAATTTGTTATTCAGGGAACATTTTAACTACTATATCATTTCCTAGGTCATGGCAAACTATTATTCAAGGATGGAAGTTATTATGAAGGCGAGTTTGTGGATGGTGAAATTTTGGGAAATGGATTGCGATATTGGGCATCTTCAGGTTAGCATTTTTCATCACAATACATTATGTTCATTTAATACACCTTTATCTTCTTCATTTGGTATATAATGTACAGTAAAAAAATAATGTTTTGTAATTTACCACCCTGCTTTGATGCAATTGAGTTGTTCAGGGCTTGGAGTGTAAATTCATATTTTTCAGGCTTCCCCACATAAGCAGTTTCAAGATAGTGTTAATTTTTAATTTGCTCTTAAGAGGTGCCTTTGATAGTGGGTGACAGCAGGTAGTAGTGTAAACCAGAAGCATGTGATTTCTCTCTTACATTTGATATTAAAAGTCTCAGTCCAGAAAGGATCTCCGCATAGGCAGATCTCCACACCCATATGGAGTTACGTAACTTATCAGGGCTGAAGACTGCACAGGACTAAACCCACTGGAACCATCTGTCCCCAATATCGACAGATTTTATGCCTGTTTCTTCACACAGCTTTGTCAATGGACATATACTTTGTTGGCATATTACTGCTTTTCTAGTCTTGTGTCTTACTTGAGTAGAGGTATGCTTCTCTGTAAAAAACAGCTCATGAAAAATGACATAATTTCAGCTGTAAACACGGACTAGCTAGCACGTCCAGTACTGCCCCAGGAGTTACTCTAGGAGTTGCTGTGGCTCCTTATGACTTGCTTATTGCTCTTATGGGTAAGTCAATGACTTCCTCCACATTCACCTAACCTGTAATGATTGGCAATCTTTGGTCAGTATGGAAAGGACAGGTATCACGTTTATGCAATAAATAGATCAGTTATATTAAAATATATAGTTATATATCATCATGTAGGCATATACACACTGGGAAATTAATTGTACAGAATTGTATTTTTAGCACTAGGCTTCTGATTTCCCAGGCTTCAATATAGAAGATTTGAATGACTACATGCCATCAAAAAGCTGTTAAGTTGACTATGAAATTAAAGTACTTTTTATACATTCCTTAACCATAAAAGAACATATTATGAATCTTTTTTTAACACATCACTGACATCTTTTAAGGTGCTTCAGTTTTAAAGACCTGAAGGAATATGGATTATAATTCATTAGTTTTAAGATAAAGATCTAATGAACAGGTTTCTTCTTCATTAGACTGTACTGATAATAAAAAGAACGTATTAATTATTCACTTTATGTCTTTTAAAATGCCTTCTACTACTGCTGTGCAAGTAAGTACAATAGGAACCATTATTAGTGTACTTTCACCTTAAAAATTACAAAACTGCATTTGACAAAGGTGTTGTTTCTGCTTCTTTTTTAATTTTACTTTCTCATGTGTCTAATTCAAGGAAACAGTTACTCAGGTCAGTTCATGTTAGGAGAGCTCCATGGACATGGAGTCATGCAATACAGAGATGGTGGGAAATATGAAGGAGAATTCTCCTGTGGAATGAGAGAAGGTACGTTAGAATCTCTGAGCAAGCTTTGATTAAAATTCGTTCTAATGTTACTGAAGTCCTGATAATTGCTATTACTAAAGAAGTGCCTATAAACCAACCTAGAACAGGCCATTGTTCTAGGCATCAGACAAACGCAGCGTAGTCTACTTTCTTTGGTTCCAGCAGAGGCATGTAATTTGTTCCCCTGACTTAAATAGGACTATGCACATGCTTAATGTTGGGCATGTAATTAAGCATTTTTCTGTGAGTGACTTACGACTTATTTGGTATTGGAGTCAGCACCTTCAGTGTTTGTCTCTCCTTGACTTTTATGAAGAATGTTTCAAGCATAGCAAACTTCATTTAAAAATCATTTAGGAAAGGTTATATTATATTTTAGGTTTTTTTGAGAGGTTAAGAACCAATGTAACTTGTCTGATTGGAGGCCTGCAGGGAAGGCCCTACAAGAAAAGGCTAAGGGACCTTAACCTCTTCACCCTCTCCAAGAGAAGGCTGAGAGGGGACCTTGTGGCAGCGTACAAATTCATAAGGAGAGAGCAACATGAAGTAGGCAATGATCTGTTTACCAGGGCACGTCCTGGAACAACAGGAACAATGGCCATAAGCTACTGGAGAGTAGGTTTAGACTGGACATTAGAAAAAAGTTCTTTGCAGTCAGGGTTGCCAGGATTTGGAATGGGCTTCCAAGGGAGGTGGTGCTCACCCCATCCTTGGGGGTCTTCAAGAGGAGACTGGACAGGCACCTGGCTGAGATCATATGATCCCAGGTTTGGTGACCCTTTTCTTGCCTGCCAGGGGCAGCAGGTCAGACTAAATGGCCCACTGAGGTCCCTTCTTACCCTAGAATCTATGAATCTATGTAACCCGAACTGGAAAGCCCATTCGTATGTTTATTCATCTAGATATAGGTGGCATCACAAACTTTGCAGAAAAACCTATTTATAAGAGATTTTAAGGCCAGATCATACAATTAGTTACCCAAGTGAATAATTCTACACATTTAGTCATGCAGTTATTCTCACTGATACCTAGCTGCTCTCCTTTGTAAGTATTTGTTGAATGGGGTCCATTGAATATTCATATTTTTGGAGCTGCTGCCATTTACTGGAGGTTGCCCAGTCACTCGATTTCAGTGAAAATAATTGCAATGTGTAAAATCAAGCATGTGTATCTTTGCCTATTAGATTGGAACTTTAGTTTGTACAGTACCTAGTACATTTTGAATGCTGTTGAAATTTAATAAATTGGATAAATAATATCCAACCTGATTTCTACATCAGCAAAGTTGGGAAAAGCTTTGTATAGTTTAAGTCCCAACCAATTTTTTGGATTTTCTCAGACTAGTATCGAATGGATGTGCCGTCCATTTGAAATGGGATTTTTTTTTCTTGTGTATTTGGGGAAAAAAAATTAAAACCCACAGACGTGGCTTCTGAGTTGTCAAGGGATTTTAATACAAGCAAATGAGAGGGTATTTCCTGCCTCTGACCGTGACATTTTGGTGGTAGTTGTGCTGAGGGATGGAGGAGGGTGGGTGTTAGGCCCTACTGTCATCCTTGTGTTAGGGATGAGAGGGGAGGGTGTTTGTCTTTTTTAAATGTCAACTGTTCATATCCTATTTCTTTTTTGTTCAGGATATGGGTTACTGGTTGACAGTGATGGACAAATTTATCAAGGATCTTTCCACAAAAATAAGAAGCATGGAGGAGGTAAAATGACCTTCAAGTAAGTTTTATGTTTCTGGCTTTGGTAGCCTGTTGCTCTTTTTTCAGAATATGGCAATGTACCATTCAAGGTTTTGATAAATGAACAAAAACTTAGTAACCTTCTTAGGTTAAAACTCACCCCATTGTGTCAACATCTACCAGTTCACCTGTTGTGGTATAAAAAATTACACTTTGATTTGGATCTTTCTTGGTACTGGCAGTCCTTCAATATGAGGTTAACAGTAGGATCTTACTGGAGATCATATACTTGCCTCTTATTTTCTGAATCTTGTTATATTTGTGTTAAAATTCAGACTCTTAATGCCATGTTTTGTATTTTGTTGTGCTTATTTTATTCAGTCAAAAACAGGAAAAAAACTTTGGAAATTTGAGATTTTAGACAATTTTGAAAATACATTTGTTGGATCCATTTGAAGTCAGTGCCCATTGCCCTGATAACAAATAATTATACATAGATTATTAAAAAATTCCATGCAGGTTCATACACTATGAAAACTTGTGTGAGGTTTAAAACTTTATTTCTGTCTCTTCTGAGGTGTATTGCTCGGACTTCCTGGGAACAGAAGCAGGGCATCATTTTGATCAATATGGTACAAAGTCTGTGTATTACTTAGATGCTGGAACATGGATACCAAGGCCACATGTACTACTAACAATCCTAAAATATATCCTTAAGAAATATATAATCTGCTAATCTAAGTTAAATAAATTGAAATAAAATGAATTCCTGAGAGAGATGGATTTATCCTAAAGCAGTTGCTTTTGCAATTACTTATAAGTCTTGCTTGTTTTTCTATTTTATTCCCTTCAGCTGTGCCCATAACAGAACTAGGCCAGTCTCTGGGGCTAGCTCCAGAGGCGCATTATTCAGGCACATTTGTTTGTAGATGAAAATCTTTAAAAAGTGCAATGATCTAAATACAATATATTTAAAATGAAGGCCACTCTGAAAAGTCAAACATGATTTTTTGTTAATGATATTCTTCAGGAAATACTAAGCTAAGCTTTTTTGGTCAGAATTTTAAGTTCTGCTCTTTTATTTGCAGAAATTCTATAAGCCTTTGACTTTGTGGAGCCAAGAGATAGTTCAGCAACCAGATTAATTTACACTTTAGACATGATCTGTAGCCCTCTGAAATCACTAAAAGTCTTACCAGAGACTCCAGTGGATTTTGGATTAGGTTCTGTGCCTATGTTTTGCACTCTGTGAAGCTTGGCACGCCTCCCTAATTGCACTATGCATGGCCAATACTGACCATATACCTATGCATATATAAGTACACAAAAAATGAATAGCAATATCACAGGAGGCTTGACAGTAGAATAGCAGATGATCAATCAATTACTATGTAATAGAAAACTACAGAAGTCTCCCATTTTATGTGAGTGGTTAGAGTCTGTTAACAGGTGTCCATAGATCATCATGTTGAACTTGTCTTGTGTCTATTGTCTTACTCTTGATTGCAAAGCTAGCTGCAGATTATCTTTTTCCTGTGACCCAAAAGTTGCTCTCCCCTTCATGCTGCTGAGTGCCTCTTTATATTAAGGGCTGTGCAGTTTCACCAGCTGTTTCATTTTCACGCTGTTTCAACTCGTTTTGAGCTCGAAACAGCAAAACCAAAATGAAACGAAGGGCTTCAAAACAGCCTTGAAACAAAACAAGGCCAGTCAAAACGTTTCAGAAGTTTCGAAACATTTCAAATTTTGGAGCAGCCCAGTGCAGGGAGGCCGGAGAGAGTCAGGACTGCACTCCGAGTGGCTCCGCAGCTCCATGTGGCTCAGCCTCACAGGGAGCGCAGCCCTGGCTCTCCCTGCCTCCTCAGCTGTGGTGTGGGGCCAGGGCAAATCAGCTTGTGCAGAGACCTGCCCCTGCCCGATCCTGGGGTGGGTTCCTGTACCAGCTGATTTGCCCCATCCCGCCTGCTGCTGACCCCAGCCGGCAGCACCAGCCTCCTGTCATTCAGCAGGCAAATCAGGAACTTGCCCACACCCCTGGGAGGGCTGCGGGGGCTGTGCTGGACTGCTCCCACCAGCATGGGTCCCGGATCTGCCTCCCAGATCACAGGAGACTGGTGCTGCTGGCTGGGGCCAGCGGCAGCACCAATCTTCCCAGCGCTGGCTATGGGCGAAAAGTCGAAACAGCATCGAAACAGCCAGAATTTCAATGAAATGAAACAGAAGAGTGCTTTCGAAATAAAACAAACTCAAAATGAGGCACGGTTCTGTCGAAATGGAAGTCGAAGTGGAACGATGCTGTTTCGCACAGCCCTAGTTTACATGACCAGACACCAACAAAGGGAGTGAAGAAAAAAGGTCTTATACAGAACTAGTCAGTGCATATTATAATCTTTGCCCTGGTACAAAGATGGGAATGCAGGTGTGGAGAATCATCCTAGGTCCTTGGCAAATGTTCAGTTAAAGACACAATGGGATGTAATGCAGGATCCCCATAATCCTGCTTCCTGCCATGATCTCAGGCTCCCCCTGAACCAGCAAGTAGCAAGCTCCCATGGCTGGAAGCCCCATCAGCTGATCCAGGCTCCCAGCCACTGGGACACATGGTACACCCTTGAGGCTGGGAGCCCCACACTAGCCACACATTAGTTAAAGACATGATAGGAACCAGCCTCAAAGTTATTGCACATGTTTTATGTAATAACTTTGTGGTTTATTCCTTGTTCTATCGCACCATTAATTGCATTAACATCTGTCTGGGTAACGAATTAAGATGTGATTAACTGGTTAATCATGTCTTAAGTGTAATGCATGCCAGGGGCCCTAGGGGCAGTGGCATTTGAAGACTGTGAGTTTTGTCTTCTTAACTTCGTTGTGACAATGTTTATCTGCTTCATCTGTTTATGTTAATGGCTTTTCCTGCTGCTTCACAAGCCCCAGCTTTTCATGGTAGTCCGATATATTATCTGCAATGTCAAAAACCTGCTTTCTTTTAAAACTTTTCTTTTTACTTTAGGAATGGTGATAAGTATGAAGGAGACTGGATTCTGGACCAGCGACAAGGTCATGGGGAACTGCACTGTGCCGATGGAAGTGTATATGAGGTATAAAAATAAAAGTTATGAGAATTGGTAACAGTGTAACTTAGGAAAGTCCAAAGGAATCCATTTTGAATATTTATCCTATCCTCCAAGGTGTCAGGGGCTCTGATCAAGCAGGCCTGACTAAGTCAAACACTTGAGTAACCACACCTGGCCTTAATCCCTGGCTAATGTGGCTGCCCCAGTTTTCTGCACCAGATTGTCTGCTGAAAGCGACACTTACCCCTTTAAATATACCTGCAGTGTCAGGCTGTAGGCATGCCTTGAAACAGCCACAGTCTGTTCTGTTAAGCCTCATATGCACTGTTCTCCTTGGTTCTCCTGACTTCTGACTTGACTTTGGCTTTTCCTGACCCTGAGCTCGAATCTTGCTGAAATTCAGCACTGGTCTTGCTGTCTCTGGTGTTCCTTGCATCTTGATTTGGCTTGGCTTCCTAGACCCTGAACTCAGATCTTCCCTGGAATTTGGCACTGGTTCTCTGACCTCTGGCTCCTGACCTTGGTTTGTCTCTCAGATGTACCCTCTCAGCTCCCTTGAAACTTGGTCCCACACTCCCTGCTCAGGTAACCTGTGCCTGCTT